TATGTGTTACCATGTGACAAGCTGATCGGCAACGAAGGATTGAAACCAGTGTTGTAAAAATCCTGACTAGGTCCCTATTAATCTCTGATTAATCCCTAGGTGCTACTCGACCGATTAGAGGGCGGCTATCGATTAATCCCTGCATACACAATGAGTGAAGTAGTAAAACCCGATGAAATTTTAACACTTTGAAGAAGTTATATCTCAATAGAAACTATTTAAGGTATGATTAGTCTTTTATTAATCATATTAACCTATTTTGTTATGATATTAGTGATATTCATGAACTTTTATATGATATTATTCATATTTAATTTTTAAAATCCAACCAATTAGCAATTAATGGTCTCCGATTAATCCCTCGATTAATCTTCGCCTAGCCGATTAATCCCTTAACCCCAGTCCACCGACTAGGTAACGTCAAGTGATTTTTACAACCTTGATTGAAACCAAGACGGGAAATTAGCCTACTGACTAACCAGGTGAGTAACATTACTCTAACATCTAGTGATATGTTATCTATGATATACAAAACATAAGTTATATGATTAACTATTATGGAGTAATTGAATGATATTAGAACGATTGATTATTCAGAGAGGTGAATATTTGATTGAAAGATTGATCTTAATTGAGAGGTGACTATACATTACAAAAGTTATATGATTAACTATTATCGAGATAGATCCTTGATGAGATATATTATAACTGAGAGATAGATCACATTGAATGATATATCATTTCTATGCAATTGTTTGTAATAGAAGTATGATATATGTGCTATCTATGCTATATGTGATATAAAATATGTGAATTATATAGTGATCTAAATAATTTGGGTTTTATTTAGATTTTGATTACAATTGAGAAACAAATTTTTATGAAAGATAGATTTTATCGAGATCACGTGTGAGGAAATGATCATATTGATAGATAGATTATAATTCATATATCGATTATGATTGACATATATATCATGATTGATGGATTGATCACGATTGATAGATAGATTATGACTAAGATAGATCAGGATTGAGAGATCAATTATGATTTAGAGAGATTGACTATGATAGAGAAATTTATTAGCATTGAGAGAGATAGATCATGATATAAAGAGAGATCTTAAATAAAAGGTTGATCATGATAGAGACAGATTATGATAGAGAGATTGATCACACGTGAGAGATTGATTATCATAGAGTGAGAAAGAGATAGAGAGATAGAGTTCATCAATCAGAGATAAATCACACTAATAGAGAGGGAGAGAGAGAGAGATAGAGAAAGAGAGAGATCATCACTAGGTAATATAATATTACTGAGAAATTGATTATTATTAGAGCTGACACGTAGGTATGAGAATACCATTATTTTGTTCTGATTTATTTGTCACATATTAGTGATGATTACTTCATTTTTATATATGTGATTTACATGTTTATGTTATTGTAGTTGTTATTCACTAATCCGTGTGTATGATTATTAATTTGCAGGTGGATTATTGTGACACCCATATTGATCTTGTATTTGAGGCCAATATGATCCTTGTGATAACTTCTTGTATACCAGAGTGCTAGTGTACACCAAAGTTATTTGTAAAATTTAAATGTGAAATGAAATTTTTGGGGAGTACCTGGTATGAAAACTTGGGCATTACAAGTTGGTATCAGAGCTGTCGTTTAAATGAATTAGGTTGTTATAGTAGATTTCTAAACTTAAACCGTAGAGTAAAGATGAGAATCGATTTAATCTAATAACAATGAGTTTTTCGACCATTAGACATTTTGGGAAATTCAAGATATATATATATATATATATATATATATATAATATATATATATATATTACTTTCAGTATAAATATATTACTTTCCTATAAATGATGTCGTGGAGCATTACAGAGAAGGATTGTGGAATATGATTGTGAGATCCATAAGGAAATTAGATGCAGGACGACTAGAGATACGTGACGCAGTGATTTGAAACACGCGATGCATACAAACGATAAATAGCAACATACTTTGCTAACCATGATGGAGATGCAGAGTGAACATGACGCAGTTGTTTTGGTCAAAAATCAATCAAGTGTAATTCAACCAAATTGTATGACATGCTGTGGCGTTATTGTAATGCAACTGTAGAATAATGATCAAAGTGAGACAAGTGAGTTACAAGGAAAGCCCTTGATCATTTTTAGGATCTTCGGCATAAAATCTTGGGGGTGTTAAGGATCACCTACCTTTGTGCTTTTTATTGATTTTAATTTCCGATTATAGAGATGATGAAGATAATACGAGTACAAGTGCAGTAGTAGAGTTAATCATATGTGTAGTGTGCAATTTACATGTGTTATTTATAGTCTAAGATAACAAAAAGAAGTCTGATATTTCCAGGATTTTCTTTGAACAAGTATTTTCACGTTGTTTGACTTGGTATTCCCGGGTCTTAAGCTTGATTGAAGTGATTCCTTATAGAGAATGAGTATTGTGTTCACTAATTCTACACATTTGAGAAAAAGAAAAAAAACATATAGCCGTTATAAGTGTTAGGAAATATTACTGATAATAATCAGGATCGTGGGATATGTTTAAGGATCCTAAGACTTCAAGAATATTAAGGTTCATGAATATGGTTATGGGATCCTGCCCCTAACAATTTCCACCAAATTCTACCTGCGAGATATTAGTGTTAGTTTCCATATATTTAGAGGTATAATTTAAAAAATAAAAACAAATAAGAAATTTGAAATTGAAACCCTAATAGGATAGGTTTTATCCGTTCCATAAGTATCATTGCTTAGTCAAATCATGTTCTCTCTCTTTTGTCACTTAGGTTAAATAGGGTTAACTGAATTAATTTCTTTTACCTTCCCCAATACTTCGTATGATCATCTCGAGCCACCTTCACATGTAATTTTTTGTCTTCTTTTAATTTTGTTTTCCTCTTTTTTTTATCATGGGCAAGAAGGAAACTGTTCTCGTGCCAACATTATTGCCCCTCCCGAGATCGACTTCATTGATCAGCAAATTCTGGCCTATGATGAGGTCTGCTCCTTTGATGATGAAGACATGCAATCTCTAAAAAAAATCAGAGCTTTTTCTTTTGATGTAATCTTCTGAAAGTGCACAACTTAGTGCACGGACAAGTTTCGAAAACTCAGACCTTGAGTTAACTTAAGCTCAATGTTTGATGCTAATATTTGGGTCCAATCAATTCTGGTAAACCAGTCTTCTCTTGCAGTATGAAGATCAAAAAAGTATTCAACAAAATATTTAAGTAAGATAAAATTAGTATGATCAAAGTAAAGATAACTTAAGAACAATGAGAATGATGAAGAAAGAGATTTGACTTGCAAGATATTTAGTATTTGATGTGAAACATAATATTGCTTCAAAAAGGTTACAATGCATGGAAACGCATCTCCTTAAACAGGAAAGGAGGGATAATAAGACAATATACAAAACTTGCATGAAGAATGTAAATCTGATAAGTCAGAAAAACTGACACACATGATTTACTCGATTTTGTCCCTTGAACTATATAATCGACAAGTATTAAATGAAAAGAAGCATTAAGTGCTTGTACAGACTCAATAACAATGAAAAATAGGAATGTCTCGGATAAGTCTTCATCTCGGAAGAAATTGACTTCAGAACCTTTCACATCTCGGAATGCACTTCAACTTCGGTACTGGTTTGGCTTCAGATTACTAGAGGTTCACTTTTATGTATCAACAATCTCTCCTTAATTGAACTTATCAATCGATCAACTTCTCATTTGTCTTCATCAAACACTAAGAGATAGACACTTTGTAGCTAACTTCGGACTTCCAAATACCATTTAAGATGTTCGAAGAACTTCTTCTTGACATGCTCAGGAGAATCACTTTTTGCAGCATTGGAAATGAACTTCTGAAGGATCTTTTTTGGAACAAGATGTTTGTCAAGAACTTTAAAGAACTCTTTTCGGTTAGTCTTCTTTTTGAGATAGACATAGCCGAGTTCTGGTTCTTCAATTGGGCCTTCTGCTAGGATCTATGCTTTAGGGAGTTCGGTGGTAATTTTTGCCAAGATGCACTCGGTTCCAAAGGTAAGCAAATTCAATGTCGGACCTGTAGAACTCAGCAATATAGTCCTTCAAGAAATTGATTGCGGCAATGTAAGCTTTGATGCTCGTGTCACTTGATTGGGGATCTCGGAAGTGAGCAACAATGTAGAACATGCAATTAAGATCAAACTTGCTTTGAACCTTGTTACCGTATGCAACGATCTTGGTAATCCTCTTCCGAGACCATACTTCTTTTTGAGGTCTAACATTGACTGAGTAAATGGTTCATAATCTTTCACTCTCTGTCCTAATAATTATTTGAGGATCATCATCTGGTTGAAGAGGAGCGTACTTGATATAGAAATGATTGTGATGAGAAATTGGAAGGTCAAGTTTGTCGACATCCTGTGTTGGAAGATTATAATACATGAAGAGAACAACGTGTATGTCGTGAATAACTCCTTCTCGGAGAAGAGGAGATATGCCCAACATCCGATTCAGATTGCCTTTCAGTTATTATATCTGGATGCTTTCTTCCATAGCTTGATCGATTTGTTCTCAAGACCAACCCTTAGACTTTTTAAACGTCTTCACTGGGATGTCCGATTCAGTAGCAATCTGCTTGCCTTTGTCTTATGTAGGTACATTCATGCTAGAGATGATTTGATAACCAGATTCAGTGATGATAAATTTTGGTGGAGGAATCAGAGTCTCTTCAGGGAGATCATCAGGTTTCCGGGTTGTAGAACCTATATCGATTTGAGCAATCCTCGGAGCAGGGATTGGAGGAAGCATAGATTGAGTAGCTTGGAAAGCGTCGACAGTTAGCTTGGTTTTGATTTTTGCCATATCTCAACTTCGTCTGATCATTTCTACTAAATATGATGGCCACGTAACCAAGGATCATTTCAGCTTATCTACATCCAAAAGGACCTTCACAGGTTGTTCCCTGATAGATTAAAGTCCTAAAATTGCGTTTTCAACCAGGTCTTCATCTTCTTCATCACCCAACTCAAGAGGTTCAAGATTCTCAACCTCGAGTATTTCTTCATCAAACAATTCATCTTCAAGCACAAACTCCGAGACATGTTTCCATTGAATCGGTATTTCTCTTTTACTAACTCCTTCTCCCCCTATTGCATTGGAATGCCCTACATCCGATGCAAGTCTGGCATCACCTTGGAGTTCATTCAACCATTCTAACACTCTTTGAAAGCTCATGTTAATCTGTTTGGAGAGAGCATCATAAGCTTCAGCTGTTGGAGCTTGAGCTTTAAGATGTGAAAATGGTTCATCAATAATTACAAGCATCTCATTGAATTTTTTGTTCGGAATGTCAACAATATTCCAGGTGGCTCAGATCAGCTTGATAAGAACCTGTTGCATAATCATATTCATTTCATCCTTTTTCTGAATCTCCTTTTCCTGCCTTTGAATTTGTTTCTCATGACTAACATGAGTATGATTGAGGAGTTCGTTGGTAGAACTAATCATGTCGTCATGGATATATTAGCATAGTGGTGGTTTTTAAGATGTGATGATCAAGGTTGTCATTATATTTTTGTTTGACTTTTTCAAGAGTGTGGTTGAACCGGAAGGAAATGAGTTGGTCGATTTGATTGGGTCAATCGAGTTCCGAGGCGGAAACATTTTTGATCTTAGAAAGGGATTTGAGAATGAGTTCCAGCATGGAATCAAGACTTGTAATCTTCTGATCAATCTTGGAATCAAGGTTTGCGATTGTTTGGTCGAGGGAGTCAACTTTGGAGACAACAGATGCAACATTGTCTCGGAGTTCTAACAAGGAAAAAGGATCTACAATGTTTTCATCTGAAGATCCTGTGTCCGAGGTAGAACTCTCAAACTTCTTATCATCGTCATCGTCATTAGCATCATTTTGAGGTTCGGAATGCTTGGGATTATCAGCAACATTGGCTTGATCCTTGTTGCCTTGAGTGCTTTCCAAGATAATAGGAGAGAATTGCTTGTTGGCATCAACATCTACTTTTTCATCTTTGGATTCCTCGGAGGAGGAGAAAAGACTGAAATCATACGATGCTTGGGAGGAGGACGGATTCTGTAACGTTTTCAAGGATGTGAGGATTGGAATGGCACCAACATATATGTTGTCATCTTTAAACATTACATCATCCGAGTGATCTTCGTCAGAGGGAGGCTTGCGAATTTCTTCGCTTGTGAACGTCGGAGGAGGATCATTCGAAACAACTGTTGGATCGGGAACATCTCTTGTAGTGGTTTTCGAAAGGATGAAACACCTGATCAATCTCTTCATTGGATGGAAAAGTGAATGGAAGACGACTTTGAAGAGCTCTTTGAGGCATGGAAATAAGCGTATACTCCACTTGTGCTCTAGTTAGCTCTGAAAGTCTAGAGTGAGCCCTGTCAACAAAATCAGACCAATCTTTATCAAAAACAGATGATCATCCTTTACCTGAATTAGGTATCAAACCGGTTGAGGCTTTTGAAGTAGGAGGGACCGCTCCAGCTTCGAAAAGCTTAGAATTAGAGGTAGGGTACCCTGATTGTCCTTGTGTAGAATCGAATGGAATTTCCGAAAAGACTCGTGGGTGTGTCCCAGGGGGCTTTAAGGGACTATTTTCAATACCAACACCATCTTTTTGGGAAGATGGGGGTAGATTGTGTGCAGACTCCCCGTGAGTGTGCGCATGTGATATTGAAACTCTGAAGGGTACTTCGGAAGAATAGATGGGAGGGGTAGGCGGTGACACAGAGTCAGATCGAATGCCAATATGTGAATCCTGTTGAGAGGATTCACTGGCTTTAGTTCTCTTTTTGGTTCTGAATTTTAAAGGAGAGGCCTTTCGTTTTTGCCATTTTCTTCTTACCACCACCAGTAGAGACTGGTTTATTTACATCCGAGGGTTGATCATCCAATATTGGGGTAGATTGTGTTGGGTTGTACACAACCAAAGTCTCAAGATGATGTTTGACATATGGTGAGTCGGATGGAACAACTACTAACATATGTATTGGCAAACACCCGATAGGTCTGAAAGACGATTGGTTCGGTAACCTATAGGTTTTAATGGCTTTGAATGAGGAACATACCTCTGGAATATCGAAATTGAGAGGAATGGCTTCATGTCTCTCAAGGTAAAGTTGTTGTAGAGTCAGAGCCCAAAATCTCGGACTTGATATATTGTTTGGCTTCCTCTTGATGGCGAACTTCTGAAAGTACTGCCAGAGCAACTAGGTCAGATCAACAAATTTGTTTCGTCTGAAGAAAATGTTGTACACAACGTACAACCAGTCCTTCCTCATAGTGTTTGTGCCACCATGATTGTCGGACAACCCACAGAGGATGAGATACATCAGTACGGTCCATAACTCGGTTACTGCAGATTTCTTAAATTCTTTGGCCTTGAATTCTCCTTTATACACGATTTGATTAAGAAACGTTTGAAACTCTTTAGTTGAGGGTTCTTGAACATGCAAACCCTTAGGGTTTTCTGGAATGCCAATTTCCTTAAGGAAGGTACTTTTGTGAACATGAATAATCTTGTCGTCGGCGATCTTTTTATTATGCTATTTTTGATCTTGATCCTTTCAAAATCTTTGTGAAAAATGCGTAAGGGAAATTTAGGGTTTGGAATTTTGTGAGGGGAACTACGATAGGATGGTTGGAGATGAACTCGATCATTACTCGAAGGGATTCATCGTAATCCATTGGAGCAAACGAAAAGAGCTGAGTGGTTTTTCTGAGTATGAACTTAGTTGAGGAAGATGATGCAGATCCTTTAGAAGATTTCTTCTTGGAGGTTTTGGAAACTGCTTGAGAGAACGCCATTGAGGAATGTTTAAGAGCTCGAAGAACAGAGTACATAGAAAAAGGGTCTAGGAAGACGATAGCAAAAGTGCAAAGTGAGAACAGTTAGGATTCAAAATCCTTTGATAGGTTGGAAATTTAGGGTCAGGTTGAGGAAGGTAATGATGAAACTCGAACACGAAATGGGATGCATTAAATGCATTGCTAAAACGGCTTCCTAAACAAGTGTAGCATACACAATATGGGACATTTGTTTGTTCCAAAAGAGAAAACTGTCATTTCAGTTCTGATTTGTAATGCACTTTGTTGGAACGTGTGCCAAAGCACATTTATGAGAATTAAAATGCTAATCATGAAGAAAAATTACCGTTAATATATAAATGAAAAACATTTGGGAATAAAAACTTTAATGAAAACCTTAAAATCCATTTACAGTTGAGGATCTCAGAAGAATCAGATTCCGATGAGAGATGCCATAAGATATACTTCGGAAAGAATATGAACTGTTGAATCAGAAAAGTGACCCTCTTGAACTTGATCTACCGCAGTTATAGAAGAACCGCAGTCAGCAACCCCATCCGAATTCATCAGTCATCCGCAGTCACACTATCTAGTTTCTTAGTTTAACTTTTTATCTACTAAGTTAGAATATTCTCTATTGTCCAGTATGCCTTGCATGGCTACTCTTAGAGATTTGATCCAATGTAATTCTTGAGACTCTATATATAGAGCTCAAACTTTCTTGTTCAATACAATCTGATTACGCATCTTGAATCTCATATCTCGTGTCTTTACTCTCTTTCTTACTCTCAAAGTTCACTTGAATATAACTGAGTACAATCACTCTTCGGAGCAAGTCACTTGTGACTTAATCACTAAGCTTGATCTCACTTACTAACTTGGTCTGAATGCATTCCTTATTATGAATCAACTTATGTGTATACTTGATATAACAACTGCTTTCATTTACATTTCCTTATATTTCCGCAACTAACTCTCTAATTATCTAACTCTTTAACTTATTATTATTGTTGAGCTTTTAGATCCTTCGAGATAAACTGTTCTGCAACTATACTTGTTCTAACGTTTGTTCAAGTGTGTCTCAAGTTTGTCTCTCAACAATTGGTATCAGAGCCATAGTGGTTGCCTTTTGAAACAAAACTCTGACTTTCAAAAAGCCTTCTATACCACTGAAGCTCATTTCTTAAAAAAAAAAAAACTTTAAAAAAAAACAATGAAATATGGCACAATCGGTATCTCTGAATGTTTCCAACAGTGTTGTTGGTTCTAATCGAGCCCCAATATTGGTGGCAAATGAATATCATCACTGGTCTCAGAGAATGGAAAGATACTTAAGGAGACTTGGTAGAGATGTGTGGAGATCCATAGAAGAAGGACCACATGTCCCACTTCTTACACCAGTCCAAACTGACGGTGCTACAGCCAGACTAGGAGGAGGTCAACCAGCCATGAACCGTCCCACCAAAGATGATCTCGAGAAAATGGAAAATGATGTTGTTGCTTTTTATGAAATCTCTTGTGGAGTTGCTCCTGACAACTTCGACATTATCATAAATTGCAAATCAGCAAAAGAAATCTGGGAAGTTCTCAAGAACTTGTATGAGGGCTCAGAACAAGCACAAGACAAGAAGCTTACAACTGCACTCAATGAGTTCAAAAACTTCAAAGCTCATACTGGAGAAAGTTTGGAAGACTCCTTCAAAAGATTCAACTTGATAGTCACTAAGTTATCTAATGCTGGCACCATCCGCAGTAACCATGAAACAAACCTTCAGTTTCTTAATGGTTTTGGAAGACATTGGACTACGGCTAAGATGATAGTTCAAGGAGATAGAAAGATTCATTCTTTGTCTCTCTACAAGCTCTACGGGGAACTACAAGCACAAGAATCCACCCTACTCAAAGACGGTGCTGACTTCGGAGGACCACTTGCTCTCATAGCAAAAGCTCCACACAATCAATCCTACTCTCCCTCGTATGACACTCCTCCGCAGTCATACGAAGCTGACTCAGAGTATGATGATGAAGAAGAATTTCAGAAGGCTATTGCTCTTATTAGTCAACAGTTCAACCGAATACTACCTCCTTCTTTTCGTAAGAATCAGCAGTTCAACAAACCTCCATTCAACTGTAACTTCAACCCGCAGAATAACCATCCTTGATATTCCAAAAGTTCTCATCCACTACCGCAATCTCAAAGTACTCAACCAAAGGAGGCACCGCAGTCCATCCAAACCACTGACTCCGGTACTCCCTCAGAAGACAAAAGTGATGTTGTGATTTGTCACAAGTGCAACAAAGAGAATCATTTTGCAAAAGACTGCTAGGCAAATGTAGTGAAAGACAGAGAATTTTACCTAAGAATGGCTCAAGAATTGGAAGAAAAGGAAAAGGCCAGGGCATACGTAGCCCATGTCAAAAGAGACCATCAAGTTTGGTCATCCGGAGATGAAGAAGAAGCCATCAACAGTGTCAAAGGAAA